CGCGCGGGGCAGCAGCCCCCACTCCCCACCTATTCTTTCGCGCGGCGCGTTCGCAGGTGGCGACGGGCAAAGCCGCCGCGGGGAAGGGCCACGGCTCCGCGAGCGGTGGCAAGAGCGCGCAATGGTCGGGAAAGCGCTGGAACAGCTGGGGCTCGGCGGGCGATTACCACGGGCACAGCTGGGGCGCAGCGGATCGCGGCGGGGAGGTGAATCGCAAGCCGCGCACGCCCCCGAGGGCCGTCAAGAGGGCCCGCCCATAGCGCCGCAGCTCCAGGGCGCAAGGGGGCCGCGGGCGCGCGGAGCACGCGGTGGCGCGCGGGCTCGCGCGGTGTCAAGAGTGACAGCGCGGGGGCCGAACACTTGTCGGCGCGCGGTGCATGCGAATTTAGCCGAACAATAGTCGGCGCGATGCCTTCTCACTCTTCGCAACCTACGCAAAGCAATGCGGCGCGATGCTTGGGCCGGTCCGCGCCGAAATTGCGCGGGCAATGAAACGGCCGACAGTTCGGCTCGCGCGCCATGTCATATTGCAGCGGCCGCGGCACACGCGGGTCGTTCCGCGCGCTCGCGTTCAGGTCCAGCCCGCCGCCGGCCCAGCCCGCGAGCGGCTGGCGCACTCGCGCTCAAAGTACACGGCGGCAGGATAGGCGCGGGCTAGCGCCGCGCTCTGCGACGGCCTTGCACGCGATGCCGACTCAGAGGAGGAGTCCGACTCGGCGTCGAGGCACGCAGCGGGCTGGCGCGGTCGCGCGGCGGCAGAATGCCCGACCGCGCTGGCTGCCGCGCCCCTCGGCGGCGGGCCGGGCGGAGGGCGCGCCATGGCCATCCGCTCCAGGATCCGCGCCGCGCCCCCTGATAACGCCGCCGTGCGAACGCGGCGCGCCCGCGCGGTCGCTATGGAAACGCGCGCGAAGAGGGCGCCTCGAAGCCGTTCCACGTCCGAACGGGCGGCAACGCCCCGACGCAGGATACGCGGAAAACGTCGTTCTGCCGCATGCACGCCGCGACCTCCTCCGCGGCCGCGGCCGCGCTCCCGCGGCACCATTGCGCGACTTCGTCAAGCAAGCAGGGAGCGGCGGACATTGGCCTCGCGACCGCTTAAGCGCGCGGGGTGCACTAACCGCCGAGCTGCAGCGGGTGCGCGCATCCCGCTGCACGCCCGCTCCGGGTCAGAGCGTGCGGAAATCCGCCGAGCCGGTGGTCGCGCGCGCGGCAATGCCCGCGCCGCGCGCGCACGCTGCCCGCTACGCGAGCTACCCTGGCAGCTGGAGCCGCTGGAACTGCGGCCACAGCGTCGGCCAGCGCCACGTGGCACCCAAATCGTCGAGTAAACGATACTCCTCGCGGCTGGGCAGATCGGCAATGTTATCGTCTTCGCGCACGCGCAGAGCGCGCGTGTCGACGGCGGTGCGCGGCGGCGCGAGCAGGCGCCCGTAGCGACTCGGTCCACCAGCACCGACAAGTGCATTGCGCACGCGGTCGCCCAGAACGAGTGAACGATCGCGCAATGATCTGGCGCGGCCGCCGAGCCACGTCGGAAGGCGCACTCAGCGACCGTGTTGTCACTGTAGATGCGGACGTCGCGGCCGCGGATCCTGCTGCCCCACGTGCACATTGCCAGCCCAACTGCGAGCATTTCCAGCCCGACAATCTGGGCGTCCCGCCGTTCGCGGAATTGCCTTGCGCGCGCTGGCAGGCGATGCGCCAGGGCGGGCACGGGCACGTGAAGCGATGCTGCCCCGCCGTAATAGAGGCCCCGGCGGTTCCCACGCCGTATACTCGACGCGCCCGTCGATGCAAACCACGGCCGCAAGATTCGGCGGCGTGCCGCGCGCGTCCGCGAGAATGACGACAGGCGGTCGCTCGTCGCCGCCGGCCCAAGCCCTGGTTTCCACTATATCATGGGCCAGGACTTCCGCCCACCAGCGCAGGCAGTACATCGCGTCCGCGGACAGCTTTGCCGAGCGGCCGTGCGCGTGCGCGAACAGCGGTCGCAGCATCGCGCGCCCCAACCGGCGGAACTGATGCGATGCACCCCGGGAGAGCGCGCCCGCCAGCTTGGACGCCGCCCCGGCGGTCAGCTCCTCCGCTGCCAAGGCGGCGCGGACCCGCTCGAGCCACTTGGCACGCTTGTCCGCGGATGGACGAGCGCGGAAGCCCCAGCGATCGACCTGGCCGCGCGGCCCAAGGCGCGCGCCACAGACGCGCGCGCGCACGCTTGGCGGGCGCCTCGATCTGCAAGCCCAGGATAACAAGAGGGCGCCCGCACTCTGTCTTACGGTCCGCGATGGCCGCGTCGCCGAGCAGAGCGCGGACCACGCATTGCAGCGCGTGCCTTGCCTGCGCGCGGACACGCCGGCCCAGCGCGGCCGCCGTCGCGCGCGGCGGCGCGGGCGGCGCCAGCGACGCCCGTTCGACGCTAAACAAATCGCCCACGTATCGCAGTAACGCAACCCGCAGCAGCTTGCGGCAGTTGCGGGTGATCAACGCGCCGACCCGTTCCCAGTTGTGCACGCTGCTCACTGACAAGGCAAGAGGGCCCCGCGACGGCGCGCGCGGGTCGCGCGCCCGCCTGCGCCGAAAGGAAGAGAGCCGTGTGCTGCGCGATGAGTACTGTATCGCCGTGGCGGAACGCGACCCACGCGAAGTCGCGGTCCCGTGGGCACAGCGGCACGCGGCGAAAAGCCGCGTCGATGTCTGCCTTGAACACAGGAGGACATCTTCGCCGCCCGATGCTTCGTGCACCGTCTGAGCGACGTCGTAGAGCGAATCTATGGTGTCGTGCCGCCACTTCTCCTGCGCGCGGCGACGCGCCGGCCTGCACCTCTGGCGGCGCGTGCCCTGCGGCCTGGGGCTGGGTCGCGCTGTTGAGGTCGGCGGCGCTGCAATCGTCCACCGAACGTACCTGCCGCGCGAAGGGCGGCGACTGGGGCGCCGGCGCCAAGGTCGGCGCGCCTTGGGCGAGCCGTCCTCCTTGATACCCTGCGGGACGCCGAACCGCGGGATGACGACGGCCCCGTCTGGCGGCGGCTCGGCCGCCGCGTCGCGCGGCGCTGTCAGTCGCCCCAGCGCGGCGTCCGAACGCGCGGTCGCGAGAGGCGCGTCGGAATGCAGATCACGTCTCGCGCGCTTCAGAACTTTGTCAGCAGACGTCTTGGCGCCTGCGACGCTTCGACACATCGGCGGGTCAGCTCCGCACGGCGCGCTTCGAGAGGGCCTGCCCTGAGCTCGTCTGCCGAGATCTCCAGCGCTTGTGGTCGCGCGGCTCGCCCACTCCCGAGCGAGGGAGAACCCCGATCAGGGGGGCGCCCTGCCGCGGCCGCGCGGTTCGCCGAGGCGGGGCAAACGCGAGCTCGCCTGGCGGAAAAATTCGACCACCTCGGCATCTGGATGGTCGCATTCGTGCGCTATGCGCAGCAGCGGGCCGTTCGCGGACTCGGACACCCGCGCGACTGCGGGGTCGCAGCCGCTGAACCACCGCGCACATTCGCCAGAGGCCCGGAGCTGAGCGCCCATCTTTTCGATGCGTCTCGTGGCCGCCTCCCGATGAGCAATGACCTGCACGACGCGGAGCGCGCGCGCGTGCGCGCGCCAGCCGTGCGCGAGAGGGGGGGTGGGGGGGGGCCGCGCCTCCTCGGCGGGCGCGGACGCGGCCCACTCGGCGGCCGCGCGCACGTCTTCCCCGATCGAGGACTCGCGCGCGAAGCCCTCGCGGCCCAAGTCAAGAACTGACTGCATGAAACGCAGCTTGGCCTCATCGCCGGCGCTTGCGCGCGCCCTCTTGGCCCAACCGCCGGCGTCGCCCGCGCCGGCGCGGGCGCGTTTCGAGAGACGCGTCATCTCAGAACGCTGCGAGGCGTCGCGCGTCACGAGCTGGCACTGGATTGCGCGCGAGATGCAAGAGCACGCGCCGGCGCGGGAAACGAGAGCACGCGCCGGCCACAATTGTTCGACGCGAAGCACAAACGCGCCCGCGCTAGGTCCCGGCGGGCTCGTCTTGGCGAGCGGGCGGCCCGAAGCGGCCCGCTTCCCCGCGGCCCGAAGCCCAGGCTGTCGCGGGCGAGCGGGCGGCGGCGCCTGCGGTGGCGCACCATTCTCACCAGCGCGAGCGTTTCCACTTGGCGTTGCCCCATCCGCTCTCTGCCGGGCGCTTCCCCCGCGACGTCTCGCCGCGGCTCCCGCTGCTGCCCGCGGCGGTCCACGCGCCGTCCGCGCCCTTGGCCCGCCGGGGGGGCGTGCCGCCGCCGCTCTTCGAGGGCTTGCTCGCGGGCTTAGCCGACCTGTCGGCGCGCGCGGCGAACAATCGCGCGGGTGCGTCGCCGCGGGCGGGCCTTTCGGCGCGGTCGTACGCCTGCTCGGCCACGGTCAGCAGCTCGCGGCAAACCTTCCGCGCCGCCACGTCTACCTGGCGGCGCGGGCAACGGGCCGCGGGCCCCTCGCCGCGCGCGCGCGAAGTCCGGCACTCCCGCGGCTGCTTTCTCGGCCCAGTCCTTGCGGCAGCTCTCGTCGTAGAGCATGCCCAAATGGGCTTTCCGGCCGCCCAGGTGCGCGTTCATGGCCACCTGCGCGGACGAAGCGGCGCGCGACAGCGCGGCACCGATGGCGCGCGCGGGGGCGCCCTCATGCAAATTTGCTTGTGGGCCATGGCGGACACGTACGCCAGTTGGCCTGTCGCGGCTGCACCAATTGCGTAACTCGCAGGAAGCCGAAAGGCGGCGTTGCGAAGCACACTGCGCCGAACGCGCGCGGGGCGGGGTACGCATCGATGGCCATGCGCCACTCGTTCCATGTCAGCGCGTTGGCGCCGGCGGCGGGGGGCGCGTCCAACGGCGACCAATCGCGCAAGTCCGCGCACACGAAAGGGTTGGCCACCCCTTTCTTCTTCAGCTTCGCGACCTCGCCCGCAAGGGCGTCGACGCGCGCGCGCTCCTGACACCGCCGCGCAGACGTCGCGTCCGATCCAGCAAGCGGGTTCCGCGGACTCGCCTGGGCCACAATGCCGGCAGGAGATCGTCGAGCTTGATCTCTTTCAGCCGTTGCCCCACGTCCACGTGGACGACTGGGGCTTCCTCTCTCTTGAGCAGGCGGGAAAGTTCGCCTATCGCGTCGCCCCCATTAGCGGGGCCCGCGCCGCCCGGCGCCCTGCCCTCGTGCGCCAGCGGGGCAATGCGCTTCTTTGCGACCTGCGCAGGACTCGCCGCGCGGCGTCGCGGCGCCACCGGGGCGAAAGCGCGCCGCGGCCTCGATGGCGCCAGCGAGAGCGTGCCTCTTCCCTGCGCTGGGGCGCGGATCAAGCTCGTCAAGTGCGACGGATGCGAGCGCGCGGGGGGTCCACACCTGCCACGGCCGCGCGCGCGCGCCGCCGACCCGCGCGGCAGGGCGCGAGGGCGGGCTCGCCTCGGCGCGGCCAAGAATCGCCACGAGGTCATTGAGGAACGCTTCCTTGTCTGGGCAGCCCTGCGGAGCAGGCGCCTCGGCAGTCAGAAACAAGCGCAACTCCTCTGCCATTGTTAGCGCGCCCGAATCGCGTCGCCCCCTGTCGCGACCGCCCCTGCTGCTGCACTGGCACGCTTCAAATGCGGCAGAGCAACGCAGCGCCCGCGCGGGCGCGCGCGCGCCGAGCACGCACGGGCACGAACGAGCGCAGAGGCAATTGCAAAAGCAATAATGGCATTTTGCCCGCGGACCCGTCGGCCGCTAATCCAGAAGCCGCATTAAAGTGATCATTTGTTTTTTGGCCCCCCCTTTGTCACAGAGGGGGTCAAATATGCCCCCCCTCTGTCACGGAGGGGGTATGAGATGCCCCCCCCCTCTGTCACGGAGGACCTCGTTCTGGGTGCTCTTCTGCCACGGGAGCTCCCGATACGATTGGAGACGATAAAATGTGATAGCGGGATGGGGGATTGGAGGGGGAGGGCGAAGAAAACGATGAAGGAGAGGAGGCAACGACAGCACCGATGAAAGCACCGTTTCTTTTTCCTTCTCCGCTCGGGCAGCGGTCGCCGAGCACGACGGCGCGCGCGAGTCGCCGCCGCTCACGATGCATTGGCAAGGCCTCCGCTGCTGCGGAGGGTCGACGTTCGGCCGATGAGGCCTCCCTCCGCTGCTGCGGAGGGGCGGCTCCTGTGCGATGGTTCAGCTAAGTTTTTTCCCAGGGATTGGTTTCGGGGGGGGGTTCGACCCACCTCCAAGTCGTGGTCGCGACCTCCCAGTGCCCCTGGCCGCTGCTCCACCCACTGTGGCTGCTCCACCAGTCACTGGGGCGTTGGTCGCTGCCGAATGCAACTTGCATGTCGCGCCAGGCGGAGTCGACCATGCGGTCCTGCAGCGAGGAAGCCTCGCCGCTCGGCTGTTGCCACTCGCGCTCCTCGCCCTCCTTGGTGCGCCACCACTCATCCCTGCGCCACTCCTCGTCTGTTGGTTGCTGCCGTGGCGTTTGTGGCCTCCGCTGCTGCGGGGGCTCTGGCGGCTCGTGGCCGAGGGCAGCGATCGCGTCCGAGATGTAGATGGCGGCGCCGCGCTGCCCTCGCTGCTCCAGCGGCGCAGGCCCTGGAGATGGGCACTGCGGGGTCGGCTGCCACCTTGGGGGTGATAAATAATTATTTCTATATCCCCTCCCTGTCAACTCCCGCCCCTTCCCGACACTCATTTCCTTATGTCATCCCTCGTCCTGCTCAGCCTATTCCTCATTCCCTCTCCTCCCTCCTGCCCTCCCCGTGCTCCCACCGCCCCTCTCCCCCCCTCCCCCTTTCAACCCCCCGCCGCGACCTTCCATCGCCAGCCGCGGGCATGTCGCGGCCGTCGTCCGCGCTTTCGTCTGCCCATCTTGGTGGGCGCCACGCCTGTTGGGCGCGCTCGTCTTGCTCGTCCCTCTCGCTGTGCTGCTCTGGTGCCTGGCGCTCGGGCCCGTGCTGCTCGGGCGGCAGCGGCGCCCTGAGCGCAGCTGCCAGCTGTTTCTGGGCGCGCCTGTCCTTCTTCTCTTTGGCTCTCTCCTGTTCCTCCCCTGCGAACGCACGCTGGCCATGCGCATTTGGAACAGGAGAGGGTAGTGGGCGCCGCCGTGCCAGCGCCCCTCCACCTCCACGGTCTCTGGCGGGAACGTATTCTGCAACGCGCGGAAGAGGGTCACCTCGCGATTACTAGAGAAGCGGTGGTCCCCTCTAGCCTCAGCCTCGGCGCGCCTCAGTTTCTCACGCTCCTTCTCTTGGATCTTGCGTTGGCATTCCTCTGACTGAGTCAGTAAATCCTGGAGGTGCTCGCGGGCGTCTTTTTTCGGGTAGTAGCAAGAGTAAGGCATCCCAGGGCCTCCGTTCTGGCTGTGGTGCCAGTACGTCGGCTGCGATGATGGGCTGGTGGAGGCCCCCGCTGCTGCGGGGGCCTCTGCCTTGCTTCTGTTACGGTACCCGATCTCACCGATCACCGACTTGCGTGCGAAGAGCAACCCCGTCTCGTCTCTGTCGTGCACGGCGCTCAGCGGCCAACACAGGGTGTACTCGCCAGGCCTGCTGAGAACGAAGATGCCGCAGCTGTCCAAGCACGGAGTGCCGTCCAATCCGCGCCAGAAGTACGCTGCTGCCGTCTCCAATCGCATGCCTAGACCCCGAAGACTCGGCAGCGTCTGTGTGAGCGCCATGTTGAAATCCCCACAAAGGATGCCAACGCTGTTGTCCTGCAAGATGGTCGCCAACCTCGGCCACCACGTCTTGTGAGCCTCGTTGAAGCCTCTGGAATTTTTCGCCGTGTCGCGGTGGAGGTGCACCGCGCACACCCGCACTTTCGAGCCGAAGTGGGCGTAGGTTTGATCGAAGTAGAGCTCAACCACCATGATCCTCGAGAACGCTTCCATCTTGCGCCCTCTTGCTGTTCTGTAGTGGCCGTCGACACTCCTTTCCCAGTGGAGCAGCCGCATTTCGTAACACAGATTTGCGCGCGCAGCGATGCACAAGGACTTGTCCTCACGCCCGCGCAGGGTCAAGTATTCGTACTCTGGTCGATTCTGGAGCTGTTGGCAATCGCCAACACTCGCAGCACGACTTCCTCTTGCTGTCGCCATCGCTGCTGCGGGGGCGACAAAAGGCCCACCGCTGCTGCTGCTTTGGCCCTCCGCTGCTGACGCCCCCGCTGCTGCGGGGGCGTCCGCCTGCAGCGGCGGTGGTCTCCCTGGCCGCTGTAGGATTGACTCCATCTGCTCCTCACATTCCGCAAAGCACGCCACGAGAGCAGGGCAATGCCGCAGCTGCAACTCAAGTCTCCGCCGCTGGTCCGCGTGGTTGGTCTCGCTCGGCATGGAACCCCAGTTCCCGAACAGGACGGAAAGGTTGCCCACGTTGTCGTTCCGTGGCCTGTTCACGTCAGCCGCTCTTCTTTCGCAGAAGAATTTTGGCGGGACGGTGTCGCGAAGAACGCATTCGCGCCGCTCGACGTCGTTGGGCGGCCTGCAGCCCCTAAGTTCCTGAGGCTCTTCGTCATCGCTCGGATCCACCACGGAGTCGCCTGGGCGGGTGCGTATCGTAGAAACTTCTGATCGCGCCGCCGCTGCTGAGCTTGAGACGCCAGGCGGCGCAGCCCCCGCTGCTGCGGGGGTGCCCTCTGGCACAAGGGCCCAAGGACCCTTCCAGGGTTCTGCCTGACCACCTACAGGTCGCCAAACCTGCCCAGATTTCGCTGTGAACACTGCCGCCAGTCGGCCCCGAGGCCCCGCTGCTGCGGGGCCCAATGGGCTGCTGCTGCTGCTGCTGGCCGCGGCCATCGCTCCCTGCCCCCGCGTTGCAGGGGGGGCGGCCGTCAGAGCCGAACTCCTGGGGCCGAAACGGCGGTGGAAGGAGGGGGACGGGGCGAAGAGGAGGAAGACGGGGCGGATAGGGAAGGAAAGGGCGGGCAGAGAGAGAGGGAGAGAGAGAGAGAGAGAGAGGAGAGAGACAGGGAGATAGTGAGAGAGGGAGAGAGAGAGAGAGAGAGAGAGAGAGAGAGAGAGAGAGAGAGAGAGAGGAGAGAGAGAGAGAGACGGACGACGATAACGAGAGAGAGAGAGAGAGGGATAGAGAGAGGAATGATATAATGACCAGGAGAGATCAGGGAGAAGGAGGGGGGAGAGCAGGAGGAGGGGCGGAGTGATCGACACCCGCGTGGTTTTCTCCCCCTGCCTGCTCTCCCCCTCCTCTCACCTCCTCCCCCGTCCCCCCTCCTCCCTGTTTCTTCTGCGCAAGGCCTGCGCTGCGTCCGCGCGCGCACGCGGCACCTCAGTCGCAGGCAGGTGGGAGAGCAGTGGCTGCTGCCCGAACTCACACCCCGCGCCTCGCCGCTGCTGCGGCGGGCCGCGCCTCTCAGAGGCCCCCAGCTGCAGGGAGCGCAAGCGCCAGGGAGCCAGACAGACGGCGTCGCGTCTCACTGTGCACAAACATGCTAAAAGCTCTCGGGTTGCCCCCCAAGTACTCGTCTATGACGTTCTGCAACCATGTGGCAAACGTCTCCGGCCACTTTCCACCGAAGTCCCCCATGCCAGCGGCGTCCCATTCCCGCCGAAACCAGTCAAAATCTGACCGCTGAGCTGCAGAAAGCCCAGAACCCAAAATCGCAAGGCGATTCAGCGCGTCGTACCTCGACGTTCGACCCGCCGCGCCTCCGCAGCTGCGAAGGCCCGCGCCCAGCTCGGATAACCCGACATGCTTCATCCTGTGTTTGATATCTATGGCTGCCTCTGCGTCTAAGAGTTTGGCTTGCTGTGTCCTCAGCAGCTTGCGCGCTTTCTTTACGTCGTCCCCCAGGCGGGTTAGCTCTTCTCTGCGCCGCGCCTCGACATCCCGCTGTCGTTTCTCGTTTCTGAGCGTCGCCTCGCGGGCGTCCTCGGATGCTGCGAGGGCTCGCTGAACCCCAGGATCTTCCTTCGACACTTCACGCACTCGCCTCCGTTCTTTCCGTAATTGCGTCTCCATGAACGTGGCCCCCGCGATGTCGCCCCAGCTGCGCAACTCCTCAGCGATCGACGAATACGTTCTCATCAATTCAGACGTCTGCTCCGCAGTTTCCATACGAGACGTCGACAGGCCAGGCGGTGCCTCCAGCGCGCTCTCCCCCGCCGCTGCTGCGGTGAGACTTTGATTGGCCCATTCGTAGTCAAACTCGCCAGCGGCGCTCCACCCGTCGTCGTCCTCGCTCCCATCATCTTCATCTCCTTCGAGGGCGT